GTTTCAGAGCATATGCCATAGCAGAAGATGCTTTGGAAAGTTTGGAACATGAATATCCACTATTTGCTAGACTTGTTTTCTTTCTTTTTCTGAAGAAAAGACAAAATATGTTTTATTTCAGCTCCACCATCTACTTTTATTGCTCTTAAAGGCTTGGAAAAAACTCAGGCAAGGCCTAGAGGGTACTTTTTTTAGAGTGATTGCTTAGGGGAAGAGGTCTTCATGAGATGAGCATTGTGGAATGAATTTCCTCTCCCCTACAAACAGAAACAGGGGTCAAAATCTGTCAGAGAGAAAAATATTTATGGATTACTATGATATTAGCAGTTTTTTATGAATTAGTGAGCTGTCTTGTGTCTTGATTTGATATGAACATTTCACACATCCTGGGTGTTTCAGCTTTGCAAGAACCCTAATATGGATTTCCTTTCAGAAAAACATTATGATAGATGGAGTGGAAAATAAGAGGATAGGAAAACAGAGTCTTGTTTTCTTATTTTCTGGAGGAAAATGGCATCTTGTAGGTGGCCTGACATGCTGGCACCCAAACTTGGAGATGAGGAATCCATCCTTGATGTGCCAATGGAAACATTAATATTATCTGTCCCTTAAAAGATATATCTGAAAACCATTCAATCTAGCCTCTGAGAAACCACAATATTATTATCATCAAGGGTGGAGAAGAGCACCTATATTAGCTGGGTGAGATAACCAGTGTTTTCCCTGTTGCTGTTTTCCACAAATAGCATCCAAACTGCAAACTGAATGCACTACTTAGGAAAATTCTGCTTTATGGTGTTAGTGTGCCATGAATTCACCAGGTTCCTTCCTTACCTTCTGGCTGCACTTGCAGCCCAGAAAGCCAACTGTATCCAGGGCTGCATCAGAAGGAGAGGGGTCAACAGGTTGAGGCAGGTGATTGTCTCCCTCTGGAGAGTGATTCTAACCCCTCTCCCCCACCTGGAGTGTCACATCCTGCTCTGGGGTCCCCAGAATAATAAGGATGAGTGTTGGAGTCTGGAATACAGAGTGTGTGCCCTTGTTTCTAATACTTAGTTCTAGGATCCAAAGAAACACTGAATTTCATACAACATGAAATTCATGAGCATGTTTTCATGGTGATACATGAGAACAAATGTTAAAGTTAGATGGAAAAAGTTAAAGGTGTGTGTAGATTAGAGAGTTTTCTTAAATCACTGTGTGAAAAAGTAGTTTAGAGAGCAAAAGACAAGATGGAGGATTTAGGGTGTTGTCTCTTGTCCTTCTTCTTTC